CGCTTCAGATATTTCACTGATATTTAGTACGTAGTGAAAGTTAATGAAGTTGGATATTTTTCAATGCAAAAATAATTTTTAGCTTTAACAGTGGCGTGCGTACGGGTATTGACTTCGATATTTTTTAAGAACAAAAAGTTACGCCAATGGTTTCTTGCCAAATAAAAATTATTTTTGAATACCTCGTTCAATTTTAAACAAATGATTTCTCTTGAATTGTTTTCCTTCGATGCGCCATTTTTGAGTAAAAAAATAAAAACCGTTCTATTGTCTTGCAAAACTATTATTAATTTAATTGGAAAAATTAAACACATTAGGGGTAATGAACAACAACAACTAACAACATAAACATAACGTTAAAATCAACAAAATGATTACAAACATTGTTGAAAGTGGCCCCCTTCACTTAGTGTGCATGCTTCCGCCCACCTCATGGAATTGTGCACTCGTTGAAATATCGCTGGAGTGTTTTTTATTCTATCACAAGCTGCAACTATTCTTTCTCTTAATTGCTCTACAGTGTTAATGGGACTTGTGTACACTAGTGTATTAAGATAGCCCCACAAAAATAAATCTGGGGACCTTGGTGGCCATTCTTGGGGCCCACCGCGGCCAATCCAACGATTTGGATAAACAGTTTGTGAATAATTACGAACCACTACACTGAAATGCGCTGGTGCACCATCATGCATGTACCACAAATTGTTTCTTATTACTAACGGCAGCAAAGGCAACTGTTGTTGAAGAAAATTGAGGTAAGTCTCTCCGTCAAGTCGTCCCGGCAAGAAGAATGGGGCAATAAAGTGCTTGCCAATAATTCCTGCCCATACGTTAACCGAAAATTGGTGTTGGAAATGGGTTTCGGTTATTTTCTTCTGCCCACAAATGAATATTGTGGAGATTCTGAATGGCATGTCCAGGAAAATTAGCTTCGTCTGTGAACAGAGTCATTGATTCAAATTGCGGATTTTGTGTAATTTTTTGAAGATACCACTGACAAAAGGTCCCACGTCTTGGAAAATCAATGGGAAGTAATGCCTGTACTCTTAAAATATGGTAAGGATATAACAAAAATCCACTAAAATTCTCCAACCAAATTTGATGGCAAATATTTAAGTGTCTAGCGATCTTCCTCGTACTCGTTTCAAGATGTTCTTCGACTTCGTGCAGCATTGTTCCCTCAATTTCAGGTGTTCTCACACTTAACAATCTACCTTCAGATGTTCCTTTTCGGACAGAACCAGTTTCAACAAGACGACGATGAATATTAGAGAAGGTTCGACTATCTGGCAAAGCACGATCGGGATATCTCTGGTGATAAATCCGTCTAGCTTGCTTACCAGTACCTTCGGCAAAGCCATATGCTTAATGCATTTCCGCCATTTCTGCATTTGAATAATTCACCATTATTAACAAGATTGTAAAAACTAAATAATGAAAAGATGTCACAGCGAATAACGAGATTTGAATAACAGAGACTTGTCAGATGTCAAAAGCCAGTGACATATTCTAGAGCAACTAGATATTTTATTGCTAAATTGCATTCTTCAATTATTACATTAATTTTCTCGGGCAATAGAACGGTGTTTATTTTTTTTTTACTCAAAAATGGCGCATCGAAAGAAAACAATTCAAGAGAGATCACTTGTTTTGAATTAAACGGAAAATTAAAAAATAATTTTTATTTAGCAAAGACCCATTGGCGTACCATTTTTTTTCTTAAAAAATATCAAAGTCAATACCCGTACGCACGCCACTGTTAAAGCTAAAAATTACTTTTGCATTGAAAAATATGCAACTTTATTAACTTTCACTACGTACTAAATATCAGTGAGATATCTGAAGCGGTTCTGAAAATATTAATTAATTTCCATTTTTTCCCCTAAAACTTCAACACCCCGAGTTTTTGTAAGGAAACATTTTTGGACCATAGTTTATAAAGCAAACTAGCATTAATTTTTCATGTAGATTCACACCCTTAAATATTCGCATATCATTAAAGAACACCCTGTATACCAGTCTCTTGAAAATAATGTACTTAGGCGTCTAAGCGAAGACGCCGCCCCCCTCTAAATTCGCCAGTGCGAGTAAATGTTTTGGGAACAGATTTCCAGCAAACCATAGCAGCTGCCCACAAAACTCAACTCGCCCATCGAAATCATCTTCGATTAACTCTTGCAATATTTCCATTTTGAATGGATGAATTTTATGGAGTTCGACAAACACCGATAATGTGACTCGTGTGCGCAAAGTTTTGAACTCAGACCGTCGACTAAGTATTCGTTTAATTGCCCAGATGTTAAATTTACCAAAATCTGTGGTTCATGAAATTGTGACACAGCATTTGAACATGCGCAAGGTGTGCGCGAAGATGGTCCCAAAAGTGCTCACTGACGACCAGAAATTGCGGCGAATGGAAGTGTGCCAAGAAAATTTGAACATGTGTGAAAGGGACCCCCAATTTTTGAATAACGTAATCACAGGTGACGAGTATGATCCCGAGACAAAGAGGCAATCTTCCGAGTGGCGCACGACGGCGCCTCCTCGCCCAAAAATCGAATCAGTCCTATTACTTTCCGGACAAACCCTGTATGTACAGAGCCTAATGAAATACCAGTCGCAACAACAATTTTGCCTAATGAAGTACAAATTAGGATTTATTCCAAAATGACCCAATACTTCAACTTGAGCGGCAGTATCCAAAACTCTCCGATAATCACGTCTTTTATTTGCGACAGATCCAGTTTGAGAAAATTTAGTAACAAGGTCTAAAACAAACCATACCTATGCGGATCCCCGGATGTCTGACATTATAGGATATATGTGTTGATGAAAAGAATGCGGAAAAAATTCGGGTTGTTATTTGGTTGTTGCCACGTATAATCTTCGGAATTGCTGTATACAATAAATAAAATAAAAAACCCTATCGGACAACATATTGAACTTTGATTGAAATAAAAAGTGTTATTTTCGTGCGTTTTTGTTTTCTATCTGAACAAATTAAGTAAAATAGATTTTTCTAATTTTCTCGAAAACGAATCCACTGCTTTCAAAAAATCAAACGTCAAAATAAGGGACTGCGAAAGACCTTCCAAGCAAGCTATTACTCAATACCCCTTATCATTTAAAATGTGTAAGGGAATGACCCTGGGGGCCGAGGGCGAAGGGAGGGAAGTAGTTTTCGGTTAAAAAGTTGTCCCCCTTGACAAATGTTTTGACGTGTATCGGCGTTTTTCTTTCAATCAGTTGTTTTCGATAAATCCGTGGTGGGAAGTTTTCAAGTGAACACTCTGTATAACAATGCATACTTCGCGGTGTGAATCCTCAAAGATATGGATAGCTATTTCAGAAATACGTTGGACTATAGAATGCGTTTTTATCTTGTTACTTTGCCAAGTATGTAAATACGTGCGTTACAACGTATGTATTCTCATGCATACTCTCAACGCTGACTGAGTCAACACCCAAAGATAAAAATAGCGATGTTAGAAAGAACCTTGGTATGATTTTTAAAATCTTGGTACGATGATACTATTTAAGTTGATAATGACGTATCTCCACAGGTTGACCTTCGACATTCAAGTAACAGATAAAATCGTTCCGTTTGTAATTTCTACAAATAGATGAATTGATTTGCAATTTACACTGTTATGGGGTGCAAAAAAATCGGATCAAGTGGTTTGAGTCGGTACTGACCACATTTTCACGAAGATATAATATACCTATTGGGAGCGTAGCACCGGCCGTAACAATGACACGGGGTTATCTAATTATTGCGGAGAGAAGAAACATATAGCTGTAGTCACCGTTCTTGGCGGTTACGTCATCAACGCCATATCAAATAAGTAACCAGATCGAGTATCCGTACCATGGGCGGATCTTGAACGCAGAAGTCGTGATATTTACTTCTCATATCGTATAAAGTATTAATAATTTCTGTTTTGACGGCATCATTGGTGTTGCATTTTTACATTTTGCGAGTTTCCCAAGGTGTTACTATTGGCAAACCTGTCTTATTTTCCGGTTTTATTCGCTGAACTCTGCGCAGACTAATCTTCAGCGCATCTGCTACTCTCTCCAGTACGCATGAAGTGGGTAACAGGGGACCGCTGTTTTCATCCCCTTCCTGGAAATACTGTAATAAATTTAGCACGAGCTGTCGGCCTTCTACATTGATTGTATTTCCGGGCATTGTACAATTTCACATTGGAGATAGATAACATGACAACTTAAATTGAAAAATTGAAGAAAGTTGTCACTCTGACAAATATGATTTTAGGGCACTCATACGTAACGACAAAGTTCTCGAGACGGAGACACACAACTAAAAAACATTTGTCTTTGAGCTTACCGAACAAACGTTCACGCACAGGGGTAGGTTGCATGTGTATGTATGAGGGAGATGGAAATATACAGGGTGTTCCTCAATGATATGCGAATATTTAAGGGTGTGAATCTACATACAAAATTAACGTTAGTTTGCTTTATAAACGATGGTCCAAAAATGTTTCCTTACAAATACTCGGGGTGTTGAAGTTTTAGGAAAAAAAAATGTAAACTAATTAATATTTTCAGAACCGCTTCAGATATTCCACTGATATTTTTAATATGTAGTGAAAGTTAATCAAGGAACACCCTGTACAAAGGGATACTGGTAGCCTTACTTTGACCCGCCAAGAACGGTGACTACAACTATAGCTGTGACGCTACGATATTTTATTCTTTTACTTTCGATAATTTTTCGGACGTACAAATATAGTATTAGGCTGGCTGTCTTCAGGTGGAATACGTTAATCAATGTTGTAACTAAAATACTAAAGGAAAAGAATATGTATTTATGCAAATTATATTATAGTCTTCATTAACCCACACACACACTAACTTATAATGGCTGATTCAAATTGGGTTTCCACATTAAAAGTATTTAAAAAAAAGGATGAAATTGAAAATTATAAAAAAGTATGTATTTGTCATTTCAGGGTAGTTCATTACAATTATGCATGAAAGATGATACCAAGTAAATGACCGCCGCGGCTCATGTGGCATGACGTAATCTGTTTCGAGAAATTTTCAACTACACCGTGGCACAAATCAGGTCCTATGTTGGTAATTCTGCGACTGAACTCATTTTTCAGCTCCGCAAATGTATTCGGGTTATTCTTCTAGACTTTGCTCTTGAAATACCCCCAAAGAAAATAATCTAAGAGAGTTTAATCACAGGATCGCGGCGGCCAATTGATATCGCCGTTACGTGAAATAACGCGACCTGGCAACTTGCCGCGCAGAAATTGTATCGTTTCCCCTGATGTGTGACCTAGGCTTCAATTCCTATGTTATTTGGATTCTGTATTGGTGTAACTTCAAATCTTTTGTTAAAATCCGCTGTGTAGTGGAGTAAGTAAGGTTCAGTTGCTGCGATCGATGACGAATCGAAAAAAACAATTATTTGTAACGTGGAAACTCAATTTGAATCACCCATTATAATCCAACAGACCTAAATGGACTGGACTATAGCAGAGCGACTTCTGCTTCGACCAGTTCAATACGCATCCGCTCTGTCTTTATCTACATCTATGAAGTTCCTTGTCCGATATACCCTACGTCATACGGATTCCGTTTAAGCAAATGCGCATGCCTCTAGAGATAGTTTTCTAAAGGCAGCGTTGCCGGTATGCGCTTGCTCTCTGAAGATCTGCTTATTGCTATCGATGGTATAATACAGGGTGTAGAACTTTTTTAGAGATTAACACTATTAGCACTACAATCGGGAATTTATGAGGAAAAACGCGATACGCGGTATATTTTCTAGTAAAAATCATATATACAAATGTATAAAATATGACACATTGGCTAAAAATATTACTTTAATGTTGTTTTCTCCTTTAGCTCGACAGTTCCAGTGTCGGTGGAGTTTTGAGCGAACATAAAAATTCTCAGTTCACCACCAAACTTCATGTTTTAGGAATTTGTGATGTTTTCTGGGTATAGTAAAAATTTTCTATTTTGAAGGGAATCCAAACCTCATTTTTCGATATTTCTCATCTTTATGGTCACTTTAATGCTCAGTTAGAAAACCTTTTTGAGCGCAATCGCACGCGTTTGAAACTCCGTTCCGGATAGGTAGCCAACGAATATAGGGGTTTTCGGCAAAAAAAAAAACGCCATCTGTGAATTTGGAATTATAAAGAAAAAAATGGTGATTTCCTTTCTGTATCTGTATGTCAAGGTGTAGTTTTATTTAAAAAAAATATGCTGTATACGTTTCGATTCGATGCTGTAGTGAATTTGTGGAGCATCCTTCTTTATGCACAGTATTTTGAATTAAAATCGTATCTCTGCAAAGTAATTGTTAATTTTTGCAAAGAACAAATCTTAATTCTCGTGGTAATAATCATAGATCTTCGATATGCCCACGTTGACTGAATGACGATTTAGGTAGCACCCTGTACAACGAATGTGGGTAAAACTGCTGCCGAATCTGGCAACACCGCCATTACATACTGGTTGTTAGTACACAAGTTAAAAGTGATGTTCAAAGTTATGGAACTTTTCGTACAATGAACTTATTAGGATCGACAGATTTTTGTTGTGTCACATATTTCTGTTTATCCGCTATTTGCAGTGCAACATTAACCACAAGGCTAGTGAAAAAATAGTGCAGGATCGACGCTTCCATTACGAGCCAGATCCAACGGCTATTTTTAAAAAGTATAGGTATTGATGTAAGTAGTTTTGTTGTTAATAAAAAAACCAGTTTCTGATCTGATTGATATTCTCAGGGTAAATTGTACCGCACACAATGTATACATCAGATCAGACGTCACTGCGTTCGTTATGTTGTCATATTTTTTTGTAAATGCAACAAGCTGTTCTTGCAGCTTTAGCAGGTGAGATTGTTCATTCTCTCATATTTTGCTGCCATGTCTTGTATTATGTATTTTATGCATTTTACATCTGCTTATTAGGTTCAGTATATTTGGTTTATACCTGAACATTCCAACTCCGGTCACTGTTTAGTTTCAGCAACATACTTGTTCTTGGCAGATTGAAAGTAGGTAAAACAGTACTCAAATTGTGCCAAACTGAACCTTATATCACCTTAGCATAAGAGCCATCGTTCACAATCTTAAACCATATTCTATAATTTATACAGGGTGTCCCGGACACAGGGTCATGTTATTTTGCAATATTCCTTGGAAAACAGATTGTCCCAACACATCATTGTTGATTAAGGATGTTTAGAATAATACCAGCTACTCATTGAATTGTGTTGTTCAAATACTTGCAATGTAAAAGGATTGTGGTATCAAAACTGTTAAATATTGCTCTCCAAGATTTCACTCGTCATTTTATAATAATTAGGTATTGTGAGAACTGAGCAGTAATCTTTACTTTTATGTGGAAAGTACAAGGAGATTGGATTCTTGTTGAATCTGAAGAAATAAATATTATGTGTATGAGATGTATTTTTCTCTAACCTTATCCTTGTTGGTACTTATCATCATTTTACTACTTATTCCTAACAATCTTATTACACTGATTGTTTTTCTTCTAAAGTTCATCAACTACTGAATTTTAAAGATAATCTTTCCTCATTGTGGTATAACTTATTGGTAGTTTTATTGTGGGTTTAGTTTACCTCATGTTCATGTAATATTCCTGGATGATTTTGACCTAAAAACAATATTTAGAACTTTACTGAACCTAGTCTATAAATTGATTATTCTGGAAATAGGCCAGGCGTAATAGGAACATATGAAAGCTTGTACTCTAAGCATAAGAGAACCTGTAATTTTAAGTTCTGTAACTTTTCTTCAACATATTAGCTGATAATGGCAGCAATGTGTGTAATTGTTCCCAAATGAACAATAAAAGTGATTGATTGCTTCCTGGTTCTGGAGAGGCAAACATCATGTCAGTTAAGTTACCACTTAGACAACAAGGGCTGCATTTCTCCCTAGAATATGTAAAAAATTGGCAGATTTTTTTGTTGTTGAAAAACTAAATCCTAGACTCCTATGGTAAAAATCTTATTAAAATATGATACATATTCTGGCTGTTACTTTTGAATTGCCTTATAGGGACTAGTATTTCAAAATCTAAATAAAATTATGGAAAGTAAAATGTGTATTGATTTTTTAAATTTAAATCTTTTGAGGTAGTAAGCCTTCTGAATGTTTTATTGTCTTCCTGGAAATATATTCCAAATACAAATCTGCTTATTGCTTTATGCTAATAAGCTGCATAACCCACTGATTGAAGGTACTTGGGAAGAATATTTGATTGAATTCCCAGGACAATTAATAACCCCTTGAAATTCTGAAGATGGTAGGCAGTAGTATTAAAAATAAAAATGAATGCTCACCTCATCTGGTAATTTATCTCCAAGTGTTTTTTAATATTTTCAAAACTTAATTTCTTTTAAGTGGTGTAAGGGCTGTTTCTTATTCCTAGTACTATCACCTGTATAATCCGTAGAGATTTCACTTATTTACAAGAGCTGGGCCAACATTGGTGTATTAGAAAAAATATAAAAAATATGTTTTTGAGAATTTTAGCTAAATATTTTTTTATAGTGCCCTAATGACGTGAAATTGGTGGCTTTGCACTTTAAAGAAAATCTGTAACCGAACTGTGAGATACTTGAAAACAAATTCAATATGTATGTTAAGATAAGATGCATATATGAGCTGTTTTATTATCTGATATTTCATAGTAACAGTAACAGATTTTACGAGTGTTAAGCTACTAGTCTTTATGCTGTCAGAAGACACGGTAGGACAGATGGAAATAAGTAACAGTTTTTGGCAATTACAATCTGTATAATTACTTGTAGATTACAATGATGGAATTGTAAAAACAATTAGATTAAAAAATAAAATTGAGAGTCACTGACATTGAATAATGGTATTTTCTCTCCATTTACAGATGGTGATGGTTAAATGGAAAGCCCGTCAACGAACAAGGTTCATCACTTGATTCAATGGGTGCTGTCGAGTCCAATATGAATGAGAGATGTCAAGCCGCTACCATGAAAGACGTAACTGACCAACACAACTGCCAAACAACAGCTACCAACAGGTAAGCAACATTAACTATCTACTATAATTCATCATTAAGTTAAAGTGCATGACCAGTAATGGCTTACTTCTCAACCTAGGTATGCAATGTACTATTTTTCAATGAACCAAATCACCATTGAATACCTCAATAATCCACATAATATTGGAAAACGACTATCACTGTTTTCTGCATTCATTACTTTGTCAGTTTGAAACCAGGATACTACATGTAGATGCTTAAGTATCATTTGCAAAATAAAATTCATGATTGTGATATTAAATCGAATATTTTGTAACGAGACCACACCACTGGCGTCGAAATTGAGCATTTTTGACCCCTACAGAAGAATTTTATTTTTATTTTTACACAATGTTAGTACTAGTGTATGGGGATTTTCTTTGTCCCAAACGTGGCTATTCCTACTATTAAAAATACCGTCTCTTGTGAAAGAGGCTTCATCAGTCCTTAAAACAGCGTAAAAAATTTATTTGATTTGATGGAGAAGTCATTGACAAAATTGAACTCTAGGATGATAATCGACTGCAGTCAATCCTTGAACTTTCTGGAAGAGGTAAGGATAAAGTTGTTGCTCGTCTAGCACCCGCCAGACGGAAGAGTTCATATCCTCAGTAATGTGACGTGTGCTACTTGATTTTGGTTTGTCGGCAACTCGCTGAAGGACCTCTTCTTCAAATTCCACCGTTCTTACGGTTCGAGCAACACCAGTATAATGCATGTTGGTTTCAAACATGCCTGTCTCGAAGAGCCAGCGATGAATACCAATAAACTTTTTGTATCCGGGATGCTGTCGTTCGGGATAACGTTCTTGATACAACCGCGCTGCTGCTCGTGCATTGCAGCTTGCCAAATGCATATCCTCCAATTCTTGATTGGTAAAGTTTTCACGACTAAGGCGATATGGAATGCAGCTACAAAAAACAATCTCTGTTTTCGTTTTTAAAGATAGTAACACACAATCGCCGGATGTGGGTCCCTATACTCAAATGTGTTTTACTGTTACACTGAACAACCGCTACAAGTTTGATCCCATAGTTCTGAAATACCCTGTATTGTTCAAATAACCTTATGGTGAGGCAGTATTAAACTTCATTAACCTAAGGATATTTTCGAAGTAGAACAGGTTAATGTTTTCTATTATTTTCAACCAATTTTTCTCCACAAGAAGTCAGATAAAAATTTCTCAAGAGGCACGTTTCATGCAAATTTAAAATCTTTACTCAGAAATGTAATAGATATTCCGAAAAACCAGTGCATAGAAAATAGTTTTTCTTCTATAGGGGTCAACATTTTCCATTACCTACACCACTAGTGTAGTTTCATGAACGAACATTTTTTTATGTATTGGCTAATGGTTTGATATTGAAATTATAACTTCATCACCCTTTCCCTTGGTATTGAGGGGGAATTTTAGAACCCATGTTCATATGAACTTTTCGTGTTATTTTTCGGTCTGCTTAGGGTGCTGGAAATATTTTCTGAATCACCCTGTATAGCTTGTCTGAAAATGCCATTATTCAAACTAGGTACGTGATGTACTATTTCTTGATGTTTTCAGGATCATACCTGACGACAGCAATGCGGCTATCGCACCGATATCGCACGGTGCAGCATCATACAAAGAAGCAATAACTAACAGTGATATCAACATTGTGGGCAAGTCAAAGGAAGGATTTGTAGAGAATGAACCAAATGAAGCGGTGGTAGAGGACCAAGATGGAATGAAAGAGAAACATAAAGACGACGAAAACGTACATGTAGATAGTATAACTAGAAATGATGTGGCAGTTAAAGATAAATTGAATGGAGAAATGGTGGACGGCGAGTCTGAACGTGGAGCGGATGGGGATGAAGGAAATGATAACATTGACGTGGAGGAAGAAATAACTGGCAGCAGTGTTACAGTTGTAAATGAGTTGAAAGCAGAAGAGTTGTCAGGGAGGTTGGAGGAGCGAAAAGTGGAAGACAGTGAGATCGTCGATGGAGAAGACTCCGCCACAGAGAGCTTACCTCCTACAGAGGAACTGGTTGAAGAACCTCATGACAGGTCGGATGGTTCAGATTCTGGATTGGGATCAGAGGTAAGTTATCAAGATTCAAGATTTTCTTCCTGTAGTGGTGGTGATTGCAGGGTCAAACAAACAATGAATGACTGAATATATGCGAAGAATATAGTTCTTTCATTGTCATTATATCTAAATCTTCTAGGACAAATAAACTGGTGGACAGTTGCTTTGCAACATCGAAAATTTTACCCAAATTCGAATCTCGATATTATTGGAATGGAAAGAGATATCGAGTTACGGTATTCGGGAAGTTCTTCACCAACTCTTTGAGAATACGTACATGGTATATTTCTTTAACGATATGATGAAGAAAACATGGCTCCACAAGAGGCGTTTGGTGGAGGTGGCACTACTGTTTGGGCTGGGGTTATGCAAGTTATTTTAAACAATATTGTTAGTACTTTGTAGGGCCACCCTACACATCGATTACAGCCTGGCATCTTCGTGAGGAGGCTTTTCCCAGTTCTGCTAACCTTGGGCAGTTCAAAAGTCGGATTAACGAAGTTTTAAGCTCCTTATAGCAGCCGCGGTGCACTGGCATTTAGGCTTCTACCTGTGCCGCTGCTTCGGTATAAAAAACTGTAATACCTACATATCTGTTATTGATAGTTCATAAGGAATGTCTTCATTTGTTCAACATACAGTAGCGGACAAAAGTTTGGAAACAAATATTAACATTATTATGAACTATTTCATATACCTAAATTAAAATTGTGAAGGAACAGATATTATAAATATTAAAGTCTCTTCAAAACTGGCTCGTACAGCTTCGATATTTCTTGTTCGTTGTCTGGATAGGTGACTGGCATTACTAAGACTACCGGTGGTCACAAATTTTGCGTATAAACGTCTGATAGTGTTATCAGCTGGAGCACTTTTAACTTTATTCTTTTTACGAATCGCACGTTTAGTTTTCACGATTGAGAAGTTATTTTGAATGTACAACTGAATAACTTCAGCGCGTTGTTTCGGTGTATAGTGTTCGATGGTTAAAATTTTACTGAAATGGCGCTTCCAACGCGCTATGACATTAGTCGATCTGACAACTAAGGTCAAAGATATAGGGTTGCTTGATGCTTCCACTTTAAATTAAAAATTAGCGCACTTTAAAAATTACTAACAATGTTTCCAAACTTTTGTTCGCTACTGTATTTAATAAGCGATGTAAAATCAGCTGGATTTCACATCTGCTCAACATGGTCTTTATTATTGTTCCAGCTGTGCGAAGAACGTCCGCAAGGGGTCGCTGCGAACGGCGTAGAGAGCGACGGCGAATCATCGTTGTTATGTAAAATAAACGAAGAGGCGCAATTCGACGAGTTGCAAACGACAGTGGTGAATTGCAGTGAGAATCCTACACGTAGTGACGATGTCGATAGCGCAGTGGTTAGTGAAATAGGGAAACAGGACCTTCTGAGCGAAGAACAATCAAAATTGTCGCGAATAGAGCGACAACCTGCCAAGAGCAGCCTGAAGCGGAGTAACCCGGATTCGGATGAGTCCGAGGAGCCCAAAGCGAAAAAGCGACGAGGGATATCTTTCGACAGCGTTACGGTAAGAATCACTTTGCTTGTTCACAACCATCAAAGCAAATATGATGGGTAAATAGATATGCAATATTGTCACTGGCATTTTTAAAGCTTATAGCCTTCACTAGAACTAAGGCGAACGTTACATGTACAATATTTGTGGTGATCTGTACATATTCATAATAAAAGTTGATATGTATTGGTAGATATCAATATTTATCATATACGAGCCCCTTCCCATTTCTCAAGATTTGTACCAAAATATGCCTTTATAAACTAAACATGACGAAACTATTTACTTCTAAAACAATTTATTTTCTCAAAAACATTTTAGATACACTTTAGTCGTAAAAAATACATATTTCAAATCACTTAGACCTATAACTAATAGAACATCTGAACAAATAAACAATGTGCGAATAAATGCGCGAAGTTAACAAAGCAACAATTGAAATATTACCATTGGGTAACATCACCTTTATTTTTTATTACGGCTGAAACTCTTTGAGGCATAGTGTTAACCAAGTTTTGGCAATTTTTTTTTTTGCGAATAACTCTACTGCGACTGTCACCAACACAAACTTCGAATCGGGTCTCATCACTCCATTGTATTGCACACCATTGTTGAGGTGTCCATTGTCTATATTCTTTAGCCCATCTAAGCCGATTTTTCTTTTGCAGTGGAGTTAATAGTGGCTTTTCTTTGGCCTATAAACAAGTTATGCAACTTTAGGGTTTTTACTTCACTTTTTTTATAGGAAAACTTACCTTGCAAGTGCTAAATCCCAGTTTGTGGGCCTCTCTATGAGTTGTGGACCTCGAAATTCTACTTCCAACAGCGTCACTCCACAGAGCACTTAATTGTAAATAATTGGCACGCCTGTTTTTCATGATTATTCTTCTTAATGCTCTTCGGTCGGCATTTGTGATATTACTTTTTTCACATATTGTGGCTTAATATTAACTGAGCCAGTTACGTTATATTTTTTAACAATATTTCTCACTCTGTACCGCGATAAGTCTAACAAAGTTGCAATTTCTGAGTTTGATTTCCCAGAATTAAAAAATTTAATTATCAGTAACCGAATTTTCTCACTAATAACCTTTCCTCTACCCATTTTGAAAACCTTAGCTACCCAAAAGTATTTTAAACGTATTCTGACAGCTGTGATTAATAAAAACAATTGTCATGGCTTTTATTTTTCACAGCCACCTATGCGTTATAGACTTATTTACTTATTTTGCATTGAAATGAAAATAATTTGATATGCTGTAATTGCAACATCTGTTATTTTTATGCTGCAAATTTGATTAGGGAGTGATAAAGTTGGTGTTTTCTACTATATACTATCAAAATATTCATTGCTAATATTTTAAACCTATAACACAATGCTACATTTTTATTATTTGTGTTTGATAAGAAAAAAACTAAGATTTCAATAGTTGGGCCAACTGAAGTGGGAAGGGGCTCGTACAGCGCTTTTCTTTAATGTCCCCCTCCCCTTTGATTTTTTGAACGAATCAATTCAAAAAATTAAAACTTGAGGTAACGAAATGTATGCGTGGCTACCATATTTTAGAGTAAAATTGACAGACGAAAATGTCAAGATGGCCGGTGGGCGCCATCTTGGAAAAAAATTATATGAAAACGGGGGTCTTGTGGCACATCATTTTGAAGCTCCTGACAAGTACTTTATAACCTTAGAATATAAAGTCAATACCTTTACCGACTACAAAATGGTGGTACATTTAATAATTACTTGAACACAAACCCACTAACATGCATATCTCTACAAATAATTGTAATTCCCTGCCGTATCCACAGCAACAGGGGTAAAAACTTGTTTTGTTATTTTTTGTTGACAGTGACAAGAATATCAGTACGAAAACAAACATCATTGAACAGTTGAAATATTCTTATTTAGTTTTCGGCTTTAGTGCTCGATACTGTTTGAACTATTTTTAAAATGGTAAATTCTCGCCCATTGGAAGAAAAAATCGAAGCGATTTTTATTTATGGTTCGACGCGTAACTTTCACGAGACCGAAAGGATTTTTAATGATCATTTCCCGAATCGTCCTATCTATAGAAAATATTTAAGGGAGTCCTCAGGTCATCCAACCATCCCAGAAGCAAAGCAAGTTCAAATAATTGGTGAGATCATAGTAAATCTAGGTTTGTCCTTATACTGTATGGAGACTTTTGAAAAAGAATAAGTATCACCCAGACAAAATTCAAATGGTACATCAGATGACCCTGATCGAAGAACAGAATTCTGCAAGACTATGACGGAAACCATTGCACAGCATCCTACCTATATCCAAAATATTTGTTTTAGTGATGAATGTACATTTTTTCTCAACGGTAATGTGCTTAGACAAAATTGTCGTTATTGGAGTGACACCAATCCTCACGTCTTCCGGGAAACTCATGCTCAATATCCACAAAAAATTAACGTTTGGGCTGGGATATTGGGAAATCATATTCATCGAACAAACTTTAACCGGGTATTTGGATATGCTGGAAAATACTATTGACCATCTAATCACTGAAATCGTCGAAGCGAATCCTAATGAAACTGATATTGTATTCCAGCAAGATGGTGCTCCACCACACTACTACAGACAAGTTAGGAATTATTTAGATAACAGTTTCCCCGATCGTTGGATTGGCCGTCGAGATCCTGTGGAAAGGCCAGCTCGCTCGCCAGAATTGACACCTTTGGACTTTTTTATGGGGCTATTTGAAGCAAAAGCTGTACGAAACTGAACCTGCTTCAGTATTGGAGTTACGACTGAGAATAACAAATATTTGTAGAAATATCGATATTACTATGTTTGAAAATGTTCGACGCGAAATTACGGACCGGCTGTTATTGTGTCAAGAAGTTCAAGGCAACCATTTCCAGCATCTTCTAAACTGAACTCAACGTATTTATTCGAATTATCAAGTTAAATGTCAATGTATTCAGGTAATTATTAAATGTACCACCATTTTGTAGCAGGTAAAGGTGTTGACTTTATATTCTAGGGTTATAAAGTACTCGTTAGGAGCTTCAAAATGATGTGCCACAAGACCCCCGTTTTCATATAATTTTTTTTCCAAGATGGCACCCAGCGCCCATCTTGACATTTTCATCTGTCAATTTTACTCTAAAATATGGCATCCACGCATCAATTTCATCACCTCAAGTTTTAATTTTTTGGATTGATCCGTTCAAAAAATCAAAGGGGAGAAGCACTGTATATGCAAAGACCCACTGACATTGAAAGATCCGTATATCGTCAATATGTTACTAACTTAAATATTATACATTAGCATTCATCAACAATGTTTTACCTTAAAGAAGGTAAGTTTGTTTACACAACAATTAACATTTATGTTGCAGGTTTTTTACTTTCCACGAGCACAAGGTTTTACTTGTGTCCCTTCTCAAGGCGGCTCTACACTTGGAATGGGTGCACAACACACTCATGTAAAGAAATTCTCTCTGGCAGAGCATGCTGTGGAACAGCGGAGGCTACACCGGCAGCTGTTACAACAGATTAGGTAATGTTCACTTATTTTGTCTTTTTTGTTTGTTCTTCAGGGACATACAGGTGGTAATACTATCAAATGAGATGAATTGGTTTTATACATCTGTGTTTTTACAGAA